TTTCTGCAATTGGAACAATTATCTGGTTACTTGCTGTTCAACTTTTTTGCAACCAAGTCCTACCAACTTTCATCTTGCCCGACTGCAAAGCCAGACAAGACTTGGCGAAGAGCTATGGTAATGACCTAGTAGCTGCCTACAATTGCCAGCATGTTAACCATGTCTGTTTCTTATGAGACCTCATTTTAAATGAGGTCTTGAGATTCTCTTCTTTGGGCTTGTAATTCTCTCTTGTCCTCACACTCTCTATTCGAATTCTTTAAAGCAATCTTCAACTTCGAACAGAATCAGTCTTGATTTTCTGAGTACCAGTGAGGACAGGGCCGTTTTATCCATTAGGCACTGTAAGCAACTGCCTAGGGGCCCCACCACGTTCAGGGGCCCTGTGCTACAGAGAAAAAAATTGACAATGTTTCTTACACAGTAAAAATTTAATTCGAAATTTCAAGGACGATTGTCTTGCTCTATACATTACATCGACGCTATTTCAGTACATTTCTGAACGCATTCCAAATTAGATATTAATATTATGGTAGTTAGTTCATATATAACGCAGTAATATAATCGCAAGCAATTTTATCGCGGTAATTTTAACGCCGACTAATCAGATGACTATACAACAAGAGCAGCTTTTTTAACACAACACGCTTGAAAAACGCGCAAAATTCTACGTTGTGAATGCACACTTACTGTTCTGGTACCTACCAGAACAGTAACCTAAAGTTGATACATATTTGCCAGTACTAGACATGCTGTGTACAGAACTGTCGCGGCGCCTAGTAGCTTACCGGGAAATAAATTATCTGTTTGGGTTTCTAACAGATTTCTCGAAAAAATCCGACGCTGAAATTAGACAGGCTTGCACAAAGTTTAAGGAACATTATTTCGAGGACATTGAGCCTGAGTTTATAGACGAAATGGTGCAGTATAAATACTTCATCTTACAATTAGAAGACGCCGGAAAAAAAATGTGCCTGCCGAAGAGTCTTACAAACTGATTATTGGTAACATGGCACAATCAACTTTCCCGAATGTAATGACAGCTTTGCAAATATATAGAAGTCTAATGATTACAAACGCCACTGGTGAACGAAACTTTTCCAAATTGAAATTAATTAAAAACTGTCTTCGTTCAACTATGTCTCAAAACCGTTTAAATTCATTGGCCATAATGGCAATTGAAAATGATGTATTGGAAAAGGTTAACTTTCAGGATGTCTTGAACGATTTTGTAACAAAAAAAGTTAGAAGAGTTAATATTTAAGCTTATTGTATGATTTTTTTTAAATGCATATATTAATTACTTATATTCTTTTCGTTTGATTCAATATTTTTATTGAATAATGTGATAATATAC